GAGTTTCGAAAATCGTCCGAATACGTTAGGCGATAAAAGAATATATTTAATGTTTCACCAAGCGGTGATTATTCTGCTACACAATGTAGACTCTGTATCTGATGCGTGAATTACTCAACGCGACGAAAGTTTGAGGGTCATCACATATTCCGTCTTCCATGTAATCCGGCTCTGCAGAGGGAAAGCTATCGGCAAACAACAAAATGGGTTTGAAGCGCCACTGTTCAGGCCTTAAAATACGCGTTACCGGAAGCGTCTCTTGCAATTGATACAGTACGTACTGTTTGTCAGGTTCCTCGACCAAGTAGCTTTTAATTCGCTACATTCTGTACTACTATGTATACGGCAGTGATTTAAAGAATATTTACTGCCTATACAATGGTCGCCAACAGTGATCCAAATACGGGTTGAGGCTTCAGACAATTTTATGATTGATAGCCATGTGGAGCAAGACTAGACTACCGGGTTAATACTGTGTCGACGCGGTTATTAAGTTCAATAGTGAAGTAATGCTTGAGTCAAGAAGCTTGGCTATAAGTTGTGGACCAATGGAAAGATACCACGATCACTGCAGGCCAATCGTAATAACATCTATCATTTCCATTGATCAGTGAACTAAAAATGGTAACTCATTTATTCGTTTTTGTTGCTATTTGTTTTCGATTCTGTTCAGGGAGTAAATTGTCAATTTGTAGCAACCTTTTATTAATTATCAAACTCAGTTCAGTAATTGCACATTTTGTTTTGTTTAATTTCACAACTTTCACTTTCTCATATCTAAAATGACTTTCATAACAAACTTAAAGCAAATTACGATCCGTTCTGCAAAGGATTTCTTCAATCAAAAAAATCTTATCATTCAGCTTCATCTGCTTCTCTGTTTTCCTGTTTTTATAAACGTATCTTTTCAGAAAAATGCTGATGCCGTTGCAAAGCACTCTCAGCTTTTCGTTAGCAGCCAACGACGTGAACAGAACTTTCAGCTGTTCTGGCGTACACTCCGCGATGAGCCGTATAAAGAAGAACTTGACCATCTTTTCCATTTTTTTATCCAGGCTTTCGAATTCTACCACCTATAAAAACACGTAATTTTAAGTACAAAAATTTAAAGCAACAAAACAAAATCAATATTCAACACATCTTTCTTTGGCTTGGTGACTTTGTTGA